TGGTGAGGATCATCCCCTGTTTGGTAGATGTGGCGAATGACTTACTGTTCAGTATGTGCTGTTGGAATGTCATGAAGCAGAAATTGAAAGGATGAGACACTTCCCTTTTTTGCAAATAAACAATGCATATGCTTTTTCCCTTGTCTCTCTTCCTAGGCAGAGAACCACTATTTAGCGCGAGATCCGTTTTAGCTTTCTTGAGTGATGTCCGCATGCTCAATATTATCTGCCCTAACAATCGTAACACTGCTTCCCTCGAGAGGCAGTAGTTGCGACTTTTATTTGTAATGACACATGTCTCCTAGACCTTGTACTCAAGGCTTTTGTGAGGCTGATGGGCTATTTCATACTTCATCAATTTATGGTTACGACACTATTTCTTTAGAAATCGACATTCCCTTCTCATAGCATTCACCTTACTATAGCAGCCACCATAATTTTAAATTCCAGTTATTTAAAGCACTTACTGCTTTGCATTTTAAGGCTTCTCTACAGCCACCGCATGAACCATAAAGCCATACAACAACATAACCACAGTCCTGGCGCTCTTTCGCCCTTGGGCCTCTAAACGAAATACATCATCATTGTATCAGATTGCAGCTTATCAGTGTGACTGCTACATCACACTTATTCTGTCCCCCTTCGTTCCCTTTCCCTCTTTCATATCGTTTGCTTTAAAAGGGCTCGAAATAAACCGCCAGGGGCTCTTTTGGGTGGCGCAGCTCTAGCCAACAGGACAGCCTGTTTCTTTTAGAGACACAATACATGATGTCAAAAGTGCCAAAGCCTCGTCAAATGGAAAACGTCAAGCATCCAGAACAGCTGCGGTTGGCAGGCAACATACGAAGAAATTGGCAGATGTTCAAGCAAAAACTAGTACTTTCTTCGCGGCGACGCCCACTAAACCACCCAGGACGGAAGCCTCCAAGACAGCAATCTTGCTCAGCATCGCCGGTGAGGAAGCCCTCAACATCTACAACAACTTCTCGTTCGCAGAAGGTGAGAGCAATGAAGACTACCAGACAGTGTTCGGAAGTTCGAGGAGTACTGTGTCGACGAGGGGAACGAGGTTTACGAAAGGCATGTTTTTTGCCTTCGCATGCAGAACGAAGGAGAGCCGTTTGAGCATTATTTGCGAGAGCTTAAATAACAGGCAAAGCTATGCAGTTTCGGCACGCTAGAAAAATCTATGATACGAGATCAGGTTGTTTTTGGCACAAACAACCCGAAGATAAGGGAAAAGATGCTGCGAGAAAAGGGCTTAACCTTACAGAAGGCTGAGCAGATTTGTAAAGCAGCCGAGGTTTCAGCACGACAAACTCCTGCTTGGTCGAGTCAAACGTTGCAAGTAGACTACGCCCACAGGGCAGATCACAACAAAAAAAGATTTCGGTGCCAACAGTGCAACAAGGAGCACGCGCAAAGGCAATGTCCAGCATATGGAAAGACATGCTTTGCTTGCAATAAGCCGAACCATTTTGCTATATGCTGCAAGCGTCGACCGAGCCGACACATAGACCAAGTACAAGAAGTTGAGGCAGAGGACGGATTTGACATTATGGACATCGGTGTCTACGGTGTAAGCCTCGGGGAAAGCGCAGACGGGACGGTGAGTGGAAAGCTAGGCGGACCGGAAATCAGATTCGAATGGACACAGGTTCACAAGCCAACATAATTCCGTGGTCTTTTTTCTGTCGTTAACAAGGCAGCAGTGGACCTGCAGAAAAGTAGTGCAGTTTTGAAGGCTTACAATGGCAGCGCCATCAAGCATGTCAGATATGGCAGAGAATTGTTGCTACTAAACGACGCGACGTATGCTGTGACCTTCTTCGTAGTCAAAAAAGGTCGTCAGGCCTTATTAGGGCTGCACGCATGTAAGCAATTAGGGCTTGTCCCGAAATGTGTGGATTCGGTAAGGTGGAGCGAGCCGGAACCCGAGAAGGCCTTTCCAGACTTATTTCAGGGTACGGGCTGTGTCGGAAGGCGATACCGGATGGTCCTGCGGGAGGATGTTGTTCCAGTCGTGCACCCAGCCCGACGGGTACCCTTGGCCCTGAGAGAGCCTCTTCGACAAGAACTGTAACGCATGGAAACTGCCTCCATTATCAAGAAAGTGGACGAACCGACAGAATGGGCGAGCCCTCTGGTTATTACGCGTAAAAAAGGTGGGGCCCTTCGTGTATGCATAGATCTGAGGGAAATAAACAAGAGCATAAAACGTGAGCACTATCCTATGCCAACAAGGGAAGAGATTGAGGCAGAGCTGTCAGGTGCAACATTTTTTTCGCGCCTAGACGCCAAGGCAGGTTTCCATCAAATTCCATTGGACGCAGCTACATCATGAGTGTGCACTTTCGTGACGCCGTTCGGGCGTTACCGCTTCTTGCGACTTCCGTTCGGAATTTTGTCAGCAAGCGAAGTTTTCCAGAAAACGCTAACAGAAATATTTGAAGGATTGGCAGGTGTATGCATAAACATCGACGATATTTTAGTGTGGGGCGTCAGCAAGGATGAGCATAACGAACGCCTGCAGGCCGTGCTGAAGCGGGCACAAAAAGCGGGCCTGACTTTTAACCTGCGGAAATGCGTTTTTGGCGTGAAAGAAATTGAGTTCTGGCGTGACGTAATAAGCGAGCAGGGAATAAGTCCGAGTCGCAACCTGGTTGAAAGCGTCCGTTCACTGCTGACACCTACAGATAGACACAGCGTGCGCAGAATGATGGGCGTGGTCAACTATTTTTGCAAATATGTGCCGTCGTTGAGTGATAAGATAATCTTGCTGCGCGGCCTTGTGAAAGAAAACGTCACGTTTGAATGGACCACAGCGCATCAGCGGGAATGGGAAGCAGTGTGCAACGCGTGACAAACCCACCGTTACTCGCGCTCTTTGACAAGAAGGACACTGAGATCACTGCGGACGCTTCGGGGACCGGTTTAGGAGCGGCCCTGCTGCAGAAACATGGCAATGACTGGCGCCCAGGGACGTATGCATCAAGAACATTAACCGATTGCGAGACCCGTTACTCGCAAATTGAAAAGGAAACGCTCGGTATAGTGTTTGCATGCGAGAAATTTCATCATTTTGTTTATGGTCGAAAGGTATGGATCGAAACTGACCATAGGCCCCTGCTTGCCATTTCTCAAAAGGGCATTGGAGACATGCCACCACGATTACAGCGTTTTTTCATCAGGCCTTTACAATATGATTATACTTTGCAGTTCGTGCCTGGCAAGGAGCTGGTTCTGGCGGACATGCTGTCGCGTGCACGTATGCCATCACAGTCATCGAGTGCCTTCACAGACGTTGACATCCATGCGACAGAGGTCGTCTCCGGCATCGTAAGCACGCCCATGAAAGTAGGTCTGGAAAAGGAAACAAGGAACGACCCGTATTTGAGCGAGGTGAGAGAACGAATCTCGCGGGGTGACGCCGTCGAAGGTGAACTCGAGCCCTTTGCCGGAGAACTGTCAGTGGTAGAAGGTACACTACTGAAGGGATGCAAAGTGGTCATACCTAAAGCCATGAGAGCAGAAATTCTTCGACGAGTTCACGATGGACACCTCGGACTAAATAAATGCAAGGCGAGAGCACGCAGGATGGTATTTTGGCCTGGACTCAGCAGTGCCATTGACTCCTTCATTCGGGGGTGCAGTACTTGCCAGAGGTATGCATACAAGCAGCCGAGTGAGCCCCTTCTCATGCAGCCAACCCCGGACAGGCCATGGCACCGAGTGGGAATTGTATTTTTCAGTTCGGGGGAGCCTCCTATGTCATTGTATACGATGCCCACTCCAATTTCTCTGACGTAGAGAAGCTAAGAAGCACAACAGCCAAAGAAGTCATTGATAGAATATCGGCCATCTTCTCACAGTACGGCATCCCGGTTCATGTATGTACTGACAATGGGCCCCAGTTTGGATCGCAAGAGTTCCGAGAGTTTGTGTAAAGATATGACTTTCAGCACATCACATCGAGTCCAGAATTCCCTCGGTCAAATGGACTGGACAGAAAAGGGGGTTCAGACTGTTAAGCGCATTCTAAAGAAGACCAATGACTCCAACGGTGACTTTTTGTTGGGGCTTTTAGTCTATCGGTCATCCCCACTAGAAGATGGTCGCTCTCCGGGTGAACTACTGCAAAGCCGGCACCTTCGCACGACCCTTCCCGAGTACCTAGGCGATCCCGGAACTACAGTGGAAAAGCCAGTCTTCGAAGGGAAAGGCACTACCACCGCTCGGAAATGGAACTGCAGTACCCATTCATAATGGACACTGGTCACGCACAGTGACAGTAAGCGAGCAAGCCGCTCCAAGATCTTACATGGTGAAGACCGAGGACCAGCGGATGCTGAGGCGAAACAGGCAACACCTGCTGCGCATACCCGGAAACGGTACAAGCGAGGATGAAGACCAAGACGCCGACAGCCCTTAAAACATGGTAAATAGGGACAAAAGCCAGGACAGCAATACACCTGGCGAACAAGCGCACGGAGACCAACAAGGCATCGCGGATCCCACAGCTATAACGCAAGGTGCCCACCATGAAGGGGACGATTTCAATTTTTCATGTGCACGAAAGTCTACCAGGAAACGTGCGGAACCTCGACGATTGCATTACGACAACAACTTTCATCAAGTTTTCTAAAATGTTTTTTAATCAGCGCGAGAACATGTATCAGATTGCAGCTTATCAGTGTGACTGTACGTCACACTTATTCTGTCCTCCCTTTGTTCTCTTTCCCTCTTTCATATCGTTTGCTTTAAAACGGCTCGAAATAAACCCCCAGGGGCTCTTTTGGGTGGCGCAGCTCTAGCCAACATGACAGCCTGTTTCTTTTAGAGACACAATATAATCATCATCATACAGAACGACACGTCGTGAAGCATATTTTTTTTGTTAGCGCTATTTTTTATGCAGTGACGGCAGTGCAGTTCGGTCACCACTTATAGATGGCGCTACGTGCGAATGCCCTGAAATTGCAGTTTGGCCTTTCGTATACCTGCCATGACAGCACCGTCTTCGCCAGGGTGTCTAGGGTAAGGCAGTGCGCATGATGATACACGTTGATAGGCTCGCCGTTTCGGCAGAGGGCGTCCATCTTGTTAACGAACTCAGTCGTGCACGCATCGACAGCGCTGAAGAGATCCTTGACTTTGCTAGTCGTGAAACACATGTTGAAGAGCGATCTCAGTTCTCGCCACTTGTCACCTGCAGTAAAATAAGAAGTGGGCTGTCAGTTAAACGTACTGGTGATAGCAGAAAGCCTCATGGACATGAACGAAAATCGCGCATGATGTCGCAAATTTCATCGCGCTGCGAAGTCTTTCACTTACACATTCAGCCATGATATTATGCTTCCTAAATTCACTTACATGTCGTCACAATGAGTCCCGTAAGGAATAACCGCAGCATGTGGCATAGAATTCAAAACGAAGTTCTCAAGTCAGCTAAAGATAGGTTGCTTTTGTCTCGTCAAATGATGACATAAGCGCAATTTAGCTTCACTGTCTAGCCCATCGGGTAAGTCTCATGACATCAGAGTATCCAGACAAACAATTGATGTCATGTTTACTGGCAGCCCTTAGAAACCAGTACATACTGCGCTGCTATCAGGCAGTGCTGTTGTACGATATGTGATTGCTACAGCCATCTAGAAATACGGCCACACACTACCCCCTCCCACCCCCCGGGTAACCTAGGAATAACACACATCTCTGATCGTCTGCAGCTCCTGTCGGGGTAGTAGTCTCAGTCTTGGCCGCCATGGCAGTTGCGGGTGGGCTGGCCGTGGCTCCCAAGGAAGTCCCACCGTTGGCACTAGGTGCTTCCGGTTGCGCTGCAGAACGCCCCTTGGAATCTCCACCACGTAGGCGTCGCTGGATAGCTGACGGCTTGTACCCAGACCCGCTCTCCGACCTGCTGAGGCCACTAGGAGTGATCCGCGTGTCTTCGTTTGAAGTGGGATGCTTGGAGCCTTTGGTTAGACAAGGTTGCCTGTTCAAAGACACGCATCCACCCAAAATGTTGCATGGGTTCGTCGCGTGCTGGGCCATGTGAAGCACATCTGGTGCTTCTTGCCACACGTTTCGGTCATGGCTGCACCAATCCGAACTCTGCTAGTCAAGAACAGTGTCTGGAATTGGGGCCCTGCGCAGCAGTCCACTTTCGCCGAACTGAAACATTTACTTTGTTCAGACCTTTTCGTGGCTTGGTGCAACAACACATAAAGGCCATGACGTCCACTGACACCAGCTCCTATGATGTCGGGGCAGTACTTCTAAAAAAAATCACAGGATATCCACGGAGTGAATGATGATTGGTGGGGCGAAGCGTTCGTCAGTCCGTCCGTGCTTCCATCCAACCTTTTATTCTTGCTTGCGTCCATCTATGCGTCCGTGTGTGTGTGTCCGTTCGTGTGTCCATTTATCCGTGTGGCCATCGGTGCGTACGCCCGTCCATGCGTCCGTCCATGCGTCCATTTATACGCCCGTTCTTCCGTCTCTCCATTCCTTCATCTGTCTGTCTATCCGCCCGTCCGTGCGTCTGTTTGTGCGGCCGTGCCTGTGTCTTTCCATTCGTTCGTCCGCGCGTCCGCCCTTCTGAGTGTCTGTTTGTCTGTCTTTGCATACATCAGTCCGTCCGTCTATATAGTGATCGAACATGCCAAGTACAGCCATCTCACAACTTTTCGTTATGTATTCATCATGTACAAGTGCCGCCATCCAGCGGACATTCTAAGGACCGCTCTTTCGGGTATGTGCCAGCTGTTGTTACGCACTACAACGAGGGACGCACAAGCCACGCCATAAGGAGAGAGAGAGAGAGAGAGAAATAACGTTTATTGCACCCGTCTAGAATGACGGGGGAAGAGGCTTCGGCCTTTGCCCCCAATCATCCCCCTAGCCATCGGCCGGAATCCCTTGGGACACGGCGGCGGTCAGGGCGAGACCGATGACTTGACGCTGTTCTTCGGCGTGACGGCTGTGTAATAAGGCCTCCCAGGATTCTACATTTCTACTTGTATCATTGTAGGATGGGCAGGTCCATACCATGTGCACTAAACCAGCAGTGCTGTTGCAGTGCACACATCTGGAGTTGAACACTTCCGGGTGCCTGTACACGTGAGGGTCTGGAAACACCCCGGTTTGCAATTTCCACCTCATAATTTCCTCCTTTTTGCTCAGCTGTTTAGCTGCCTCTGGATAAATCTTACGGTGGAGTTTATAGTGTGCGGTGATTTCCTGAAACGTTCGTAGTTCGTCTCTTGTGGAGAGGGGCTGCTCGCGCGAAGGCGGCGGGTCAGCGTCGATCGACCGGAAAGTGAGCCCTCGGGCGATCGCGTGCGCCTTCTCATTCCCCTTCAGACCTTGATGGGCCGGGGACCACAATAGTGAGATTAGCTCTGCGGGTACTGGTCCTTGTCTTAGAATTTTGGCGGCTGTAGCAAAGATCCTGCCCATATCGTAGTTTTTAATGGCTGACTTAGAGTCGCTAACAATCACTCGTGTACCTTTTTGAGCTATTGCCAAAGCAATCGCAAGTTCTTCTGCCTCTGTGGTGATTGTGTTCTTAGAGGTGCAGCGCGAGACCAGGTCCCCGTTCTCGCGAACCACTACCGCTGTGTGTGCTCCCTTTCTTTCGTAATCTGCAGCGTCCGTGTAAAGCACGCCAGATCGACCTTCAAGTTTCGCCTGTAGGGCTACAGCTTTAGCTTTGCGTCTGCCTTCATGAAACGCCGGATGCATGTTTTTCGGCAGCGGTATAATTTTCAGTCTTGCCCTAGTTGATTTAGGTATGCTAGTGGTCTGCCTGGAACACTCCATAGTCTCGAACCCCAAGCGCTTCATGATTTTCCTCCCGATTCTACTTCTCAGAAGTCTTTGGTGCTGTGATTGATGAGATTGATGAGCTTGATGAGATTAAGCCTCATCTAACCAGAAAACCAGGGAAGGCGCTGGAAACACCCCAGGAACAAACCGACCGCCTTTAAAGACAAAGAGGGCTAAAGAAACCGAAATTGAAGAAAATCACGGAGAGAGAATTGAAGCGCTTGAGGTGGAAACAAAGTCACTACAAGGTATGCTCCAGGCTGTACTAGAACAGATGAAACAAGTAGGCAACGCTATTGAGCAAAGTAAGGCTGAATTTGCTAGCAGGGACCGACAGATAGAATGGCTATGCCAAGCGCTCAAGCTAAACCATGATGGCTCTGCACCCTTACAGTAATACGATTTGGCAGTGGAACTGTAGGGGTTTCTCGCGCAAACGTGCGGTTTTACCATCTTTTCTTAACAACGCCGATCGACCGGAGGTTATTGCGATCCAGGAGTGTTGGAAAAATGCAAAATTAGCAGGTTACGAATCTTTTGCCGGGTCGGGTAATGATACTCAAGTTACGACCTTCGTAAAGAGAAACATTACGACATTGCAGAACGAGACGGAGAATTCGCAGATCGATCATGTTTTAGTCGAACTCGTGCCTCGCAAGCGCAAAGACAAGAGTCTTTTTATCCTGAATGCGTATATTTCCCCCAGGAAGCGCAAAATCAACTTTGGTGATCTTTTCACGCCATAAGGAGCTTCACCCCTAAAATGACCATTCGGTGGATGTCGAGCCGTCGCTTTTACGTCGCGTTCGCTCACACCTTCAGAACGCCGGTGCAGCTATACATGAAAAGAAGCTTTAGCGACTAACTAGATCGTGCAAAGCTTCGAACAATACGTTCGCGGATTGCATTTTTCTCCTCAAGACAGACAATTTTCCGCTAGTGGCACTTTGGGTTCCATCGATGTTGAATCTACTTCCACTCTAAATTGGTCGAAATTCGTGCGCTTGCATTAAAAAGGTCTCTACGTACCGTAGAAGCTGTTAGCAACTGCCCATACTGCCTCGCATGCATTGCTGGGTACCCCTCCATCCAACCGAATGAATAATGTAGAGATATTTGTCCAAGAAGTCGTTCGCTCCTTCCCAGACATCGTTTCACAGCTCGAGCGCCTGCGCTAGACCGAAGCCAACGATAGCGAGTGCAGCCTGTTGCTTGAGTATCCCGCCAACGGCTGGCCTTGGTGGTCCACTTGCATCTCCCTGTGAAGAGATACTCTCAGTACAACGACCATCTCAGCGTCTGGGAGAAACTGTTTCTGAAGGGTTCCCGCGTTGTTCTGCCATCTGTACTTCAGCGCCGCATTCTAGAGCTTGTCCATGAAGGGCATCACGGTATTGACCGATGCAAAGCTTTGGTTTGTAAGCCAGTCTGGTGGCCGGTAATCAACAACCAGATAGAAACACATGGTGTCTGGCTGATTGACGTGCGCGTAAGTCAGGGTGCAGCGCTCGGAGCTCATGTTGCCGTCAACTACTCCTACTCTGCCTTGGGAAGTGATCTTTTTCAACTGAACGGCTAATACTGAGTCCTTGTGGCGGGTTACTGGTCGCGCTTTCCGGAAGTGGTCAGCGTGTGTTCAACCACAGAAACTGTGGTCGCCGATGCCGTCAAGAGTGTTCTAGCATGCCATTTGATTCCGAAACTGGTACGCAATGGTAATGGTCTTAAGTTCCCTGCAAAAGAGTTCTTCGCCTTCGCCGAATGCTACGGCTTCTGTACAATCAATAGCAGTCCCCGTTTTCCATAGTCGAACAGGAAGGTAGAACGGATAATGATGGTAGTCAAAGAGCTGCTGGGAAAGCGGATGAGCTTTACCTGGCACTTATGGCATACCGGTCACCCCTGGCGTAACTAGAGAGAGTTCTGCTCTGCTGCTTGTTGGTAGGCACCTACAGACCCAGGTGTATACAAGTGGTCCATGACCTTTCAGAGATGTGGTCACGCCCTGAGCACGTCTTTCCAAAGACGAAGATGTCGTCAATAATGTTCACCACTCCCGCTTGGTCTTTTAGGGTCCGGGACATCTGCCACTAAATGTATTCCGATGCAGCCGTGATGCAGCCGTAGAAAACAGTAGCGTCCAAGTGGGGTTTTAAATGTGCTCAATTTTCTAGACTCGGGGGGGACGGGCAGCTTGACTCAGTGGAAGCTTATCGTAGCGTCAAACTTAGACAACACTGTAGCCTTTTCAAGCAATTCGAATAATTGTTGCACTGCAGAGAGCACTTGACGCTCTCGAAGAATCACCTTATTGAGTCAAGTCTACGCACAGTCGATAACCACCCTAAGCCTTAGCGATGACAACCAGACCAGCACTCC